CTAGGCCCAAGCGTTACAGGTACACACAGAGATGGCTCGAGAATGCCAAAACCTGAAAAGAGAAGGATACTACTCTGAATCCTGTTTCTGGGCCAACGTAGAGGACCTTTGCGTGGCTGCCAAAACCAAGCCCATTGATGAAGAGGTGAGGCGCATGGTGGTGCAACTGGAGGATCTAGTCTCAAAAGCAGTCGATATTGGACAACTAAGAAAGGACGTATTCTTGGAGAAGTCTACCTTTATCGAGTGGTGGAAGAAGCACGAGCCCCCCTGTTCAGGTCGGTGGCTCCCACCATTGCAAGTCTCATCGACGGGAAGGCAGAACTTACTTGTGTTGAGTGTTGATTAGAGAATTGTGGTTAACATAAAAGAAAAACAAATAATGCGATAAAACCCCATTCTAACACAAATTTTATGCTTTCTTATGACTAATAAACGATGGAGATATTTATCTGGATTTTCCACATTCCTATTTCCTAATGGCATATCTGGTTCGCAACTGTCCCCTGGCAAAAGCTACTAGATAAAATCTTGGTAGTTATCAGAAATAAGATAGTTGAAATATCATCTTACCCCAAAACAATGGGAGCAAGATTGAGAATAGACTGGACTGGAGGAAAAACACATCAAACAAATGAAAATAAATTACTCAAGTTGCACCTGCCACTGAATGCTGAACAAAATCCATTTGGTGGCATATCAAAGAGTGATAAAGTACCATTCGATCAGCAGAAACAATGTTTCCCAGACACCCAGAAGCAGAGAGCAATAGAGATCAAGAGCCAGTGATGTCCAAAAATTCTATATTTCAAGGGCAACTTAAACCACAGGAGTGTGATCGATGAAACTGGAAACGTGGGCGTGGGTTATTCGTGAACCGACAGGACGGACAACTAAATGACGCATCGCATGCAGGTGATCTGAGAAGCCCTATCAAGCTAGTTGGAATCATCTAACCTCACATCCTACCATAAAACAAGTTAAACGCCCCATCTTTGTTACGATCCAAATGCTGAGACCGAGAGTACACTACCCAAATAAGAAATAAGGCTCAATTATTTCAAATTTCAAAGGTCAATACAAAACCTGAATGCCATTGTATTTGTACAAGAGAACAACAGCGAGAAACCAAAATAAGAAACTTTCAAAATTTGAAGTTACATGTTCTGTGATGTCTCATGGTAGGGATAGCAGGATACCATTGTAGCAAGGAGAAAACTATACCTCCCAAAAGATGAAAAAATTGTTCCAATCAGCCTCTGAGAGACAGCCTTGTATAATAAATATTATAATGGATGAGGTTCTATGCCTACCATCAAGTGCTCCATGGACGAACACCAGAATGTAGCTTAGCCAATGCCACAAAAACCCAAATATTGGGAATTCATGCAAAAATTATAAAAAACGCACAGATATTGTTAAGATACAACTGGATAACCATGTTCATGAAGTTGTACTTAAAAGAACTTTTTTTTTTACTTGAAAGAATGGGAGCATGGTTTATGGACCAGAAAAATATATTACCATGTATCCCTTTCTCTAAAAGAATGCAAAAGCCACATTAGCATAAATAAAAAGGCAATAATAAGATGAACAAGTTGAATAAATATCCAGAAAGGCGAAGAGAACAATATTTGGGTATTCTTCCTATTTTGACACCAGTAGAAGTACAAGTAAAATGAAATTGGCCATCATTTAGGGAATTAGGGGTCAACCTGTGTTCTAAATTTTCACGTCCATACAAACCAAAAGTAGAAATATAGAACATCAGATAACAAATGACACCAAATAAATGTATTTGGTCATTATTTAGCAGTCAATTTGTCTGTTTTCACAAATCTTCCACGTCTACATCACCCCACTACCATGTAAGCCAACAATGGATTAAAGGAATACAAGATGACACATATCACCATAATATCCCATGGTGCTTTGGGTTTTATAGTTGCATGTAATGACTAGCAAAAACTGAGGCAGCAGAGATTGCTTTAGGTTGCTTAGCGAAATGTGACATGTTTTCATACATCAACTGACACGGGCACCAATACGAGAAACCAACGACAACTGATGCTACTATCACTAAAATCACCTGATCAATACGCAGCAGATGGCTTGTTCGCATAAATTCTTTCCATTTCCACTGTGCTAGCATCTGAGTTTTATTTGCAGGTGTAATATCAAGCGCAATGCAAACATAATTCCTTTTTTCTGGCAATAAAAAGTTAATAACAACCAGAACGACAAAGTTCAGAGGTCATTGAACTCACTTTTCTGGGTGGAGAATTAATTGATTTTTTTGGCTCTGGCTCAAGAATTTGTTGTTTTGATCCATACGTTGTAGGGACGCCCTAGTTGGAGAATTAATTGATTTTTTTGGCTTGTTTGTTGTGTTGATAACAAACAGAAGAATGCTTTAGGTCATTGAACGTCCCTACGTTGTAGGGACGCCCCCCTTAGTTTTGGCGAAAACCATTTGGTTAGGTCTAATTGCGTTTTTTTCGTTGGGAGGTGATATGCATGAGAAACAACACTCTTTTTTATTATCATGCACAAAAAAAAGACATTTTTTCTGATCAGTGCATGAAAAACAGCACGTGCCATTCTTCAGCGCAGGCAATCACACTGATCTCTTTCATCCCCACATTTTTTATGCATAGCAAATGATGAAGCCATCACTACCTATTATATATGTTTCAGGGATTTAGGAACATTTCTTTTTATTATTTACTTATTTGTTAGGGTTTAATCAACACAGACATTCTAAATGATGTATTGAACTTCAAAACCTGAACCAATAAATAAGGAGGAACTTAAAATTTTGTCTAATCGACACTTTTTTATCAATAACTCTGAAAATATTTCATTAATTAGAAAATCCAATCAACACATTTTTTCCACCTTTTCTTTTTTTTCCCTATAACAAAAATATGGGTTCAGCCCCTATATTTTTTTAATTTTCTTTTCTTTCTTCTTTTTTCTTCTCATGAATATGTTGATTTCCTATACTTTAATATGAAATTTATACTTTTGTTATGAAAATTATGGACAGTTAATAAGTAAATATGATTATGGAACCTAGGAAACTACCCCAGGATATATGTTTTTTACTTGAAAAAATCCCCGTCACCTAGCCTCGCCTTGCCTTGAAAACTAAGCTCAAGAGATTGCAAGACTAATATAGTTGTTTTCTTTTGAATCAGTGAAACAATCAAAGATGTGTTATTAATACTTGCAAAGTTAAAAAAGAATATAGTAGTAATTACTAATTATAAGACTGAGAAAATGTTCCCCAAGGAATCAAGAATCAAGATTTGAAACTTTTGTCGCAGGAACCAATCAAAGCAGTTCTCTTCATTTTAACCAAAAGCTAGCTATATGGCTTATTTTCTCTACAGGGTAAAACACATAAAATATGGGAAGCAAGAACATTAACCATGTTTTATGCTCCTTCAAAAATTCTTCTCCACATAACTACAGGAACTTAAGATAATAAGTACACAAACCAACAAATTCTTATCCCAACTACATGTCTCAGCAATATGCATCCTGTATTACCACCCCACTCTAAACCAAGGCCATATCCCTTTTCAAAGTAAAAGGTACAGTTAATTATCCCCTGTTAAATTGTGAGCCTATAACATATTTCGTCTCAACTAATGTTCTCTCCAGATTGTTTTACCACCCCACTCTTATTGTTGCAGACTTGCAGAATGTAATCACAACCACATGCTCAAACCATATTAATACACTTTCCTTTATTTTTCACCTAAGACCTCTACCCCAAGATTCCTACAAATGAAACCAGTTCCCATTGCTTCAGACCATGTCTTTTTGGACTACACCAAGTTCTTCAAATTGTGTCCGGTCACTCCCTGGCCCTTGCTAGTGTAGAAGGTGAACACATGCTCAAACCGTCTCTGTCTACTTGTCACGTATTGAAGGCTTGGAGCTACTTGCAGATAAATGCACTTGTTTCAAATTCTATCATTTCTTGTGTCCCCACTCATCCATCTAAGCATCATCATTCTGGCTACACTCATCTTATGGATGTTTTGCTTCTTAACTGCCCAAAATTCTTCTCCACACAGCAATAGGATTTTAACTAGAAGGCAGCATCGTGGAAGGCCAATTATCTAAGGCAATTAATTAACCATCTGAAAAGCCTGCCTTCCAATTTACAAGACAAAGTGATAAAACCTGCATCAATCCATTTAAGGAGCCCTTCAATTACATGTTCCATACCAAAGGGCACAACCACCTTTACAAGCCTGAGTACTCTTAAAATTACTACGTCTTTGATTCTATAATTTAATCATGTCACTCATCCATGTCTACATCTCATCTCTGTTACACATTTTTTAGACTGGTAACCAGATCAATAAATTGCATTGAATAAACAACAGCAATTACAATAACCTCAATTCTCAGGATCTCCTCATATATAACTATACCCAAAATGAGACTCCCATACACAACTCTGGACATCCAACTTCTCCTAGCTATGCTGTCAACTTTGGTGTTTAATAATTTTCGCATACATCTAAACAAGATGTTCACTATAGATGAAAGATCCCTAACCTCTCAATGTGATGATTATCCAGCAACATCAATTCTGAACTATCTAGATCAATCCCTCATCTATTTTACACCTATCTTACAGATGACTGCTTCTTGATGCCCAATACTACACTCCATATGCATCCAAACAAAATCTAGTACCTTGGGAGGGAAAGAATGGGCTGGAGAAAAAATCATGCATAGCGGTCTGGGCAACCTATCACGAGTGAACATGCCAGTGTTCAGTAGACATGGGCCCACATGGAACCCACACCTTATGCATACAGAACACTGGTGTGTTCACTCATGATAGGTTGCCCAGCCCACTGTGCATGATTTTTGTCACCAGCCAATCCGGGCTTCCTTAGAAAGACAATATCTCACAACAAAATGTGCTTTCCAACTTGCCTGCTTATGAGTTATAACCTATCCCCCCCCCCCTTCCCCCTATCATGGTTGTGGCTTGTGATGACTGAAACTTTTACAAAATTACCAAGGGATATCCTCTGCAAGAGCTAGAAAGCAACTTCGGTAGCTCAACTCCAAACCTCATAACCCTTGGAGAGTAGTATTACAGTAACCAAAGTGGAACTTGAAGTACTTCTTGGCCTTAGCTCAGTTGTTTGTGAAACCCTGATATGATACAAGCAATAACGCATTGGCTTCTTTTATCACATCTACCATCAAAAGAATAGGAGAAAAATACTATAACAAAAATGAAGTGCACATAAAACACATAGTCATACAACGTCATAAGCCATTTGCCACCAATGCATCAGCATACTATGGAAGTATTAATTATCACAACAAAAGTGGAACCAATTTCTACGGACATAATGAAAAACTGTATACAAAAGAGCAGCAACAACAACATATTGCATCAAATCTATAAACCAATTCTGTTAACATATGGATTAGAAACAATAGGGAACAGATTAAATCTAAATACATACTATTCCTAATGCAGGAAAAGAAAAAAACAGAACAGAAAATACAACCATCATTTTGGGATTGCTCCAATGCTCCCATAACCATATCTGTCCCAACAGATTCCTGAAAAAATTATCACCAAATAACACATTTGATCAGTTAGCAAAGTAGACAATAAAACTGCAGTACCTACCAATCAGATCCAGTCAACTTGTTATAATGCTTTGGAATAACAGACTCTAGTCCTCCATACACTTTAATAGGAACCCGATAAGTCTTCACATACATGATGGCCCCGAGTCACAAAGATACATCTTCTTACAAGTTCACAATTTGTACAAAAATAGATGAATGCTGAAGAAACATGTAAAAACATTATAAGAGGGTAAAGCCACAAACAAATCAAACAAAATAACCCCACTTTGAAATAAGAGATTCACCAATACAATAAGTCAGGCAACCCATTTTAAAGATTAATTTCTCAAAAGGAAAATTGATAGTACCAGGGTGAAATATTCCATATATCAGTGAAAACGGACACTGATGATATGCTCAATTACTTTTACATCAGACACTTGCACGGAAAAAGATATCTGGAATTCAGACTTCCATAGACATTAAGCACAAACATATGCAGAAATTAAGCGATTCACCAATACCATATGCCAGGTAACTTATTTTAAAGATTTATTTCTCAAAAGCAAAAATGACAGTAACAGAGTGAAATGTTCCAAATATCAGTGAAATCAGACACCGATATATGCCCAATTACGTGTTACATCAGACACTTCTGTGGCAAAAGATCATCTGAAATTAAGACTTGCATAGACACTAAGAGCACAACTATATGCAGAGAAGATGAAACAAATATGTTTTACTAGAATTCTTGATGTATTCAGTATCTATACCACCTTATGTATTCACATACCCAATTACTCGCTTAATCCTCTACATCAGCATAAGCAGAATACATGTGAGAATCAAACTCAAAAGAGGTCCAGTTCAGTTCCCGAAGTGCTTCATATCCCTATCCTATATTCACATCTTTCTGAAGGAAAATCAGAGCTCTACTGGTGAACAGACCACGCAAAGACACGCTAAAAAAGAAAGAAAATCCCGCATGCATCATATTCTGAGAACATAAAGACTCTCCCTAAGACCTTGTATTCATGCTACAACAACGAGTCAAGCGTAATGGTTGAGCACCTCCATTCACACCCATCTCCCAGTCTACATCGTATTGCTTCCTGCAGCCAGGACAACGCCCATCAGCCTCAAGAATCCTCTTGTGGCAAAACAAACAGAGACGAAATCCACATGAGCATGGTAGAAAACTAGAGTCCGTGACATCAAGATCTTCGTAGCAGATAGGGCACGAAGAAGGCTGTGAATTAAAACTGTGGCAGGCCCAGTTAATGGTTCCACGACCGCAACGCCTCTCCGCGTTGGTTGGAAAACTATGCTGCTTTGAGAGATTAGGCAGACTCTGCGGACGGAAGACATCATCAGGCCTCCATGCACGACCGTTGGGCGCGGACCTGGGGACGGTTCCCTTGGATTCCGGTTTCAAAGTGCCCGCTTCAGAGGTTTCATTGGTCGATTCAGGAGGAACGGCTGATGCAATTGGGATTTCAGGTTGAGCTGGAGTTTCAGTGGTCGGGTGTTGCTGTTTCTCGTTTGCCGTTAAGGCATCGGCAACAGCTTCCCAGTCATCCAAGCAACCATCATCGTCCTCCTCGCTGACGTTGCCAGAGCAACATCCGCTGCTGATGCTGCTGCTGCTACTGCTGCTACTAGTCCCAGGGCGATCCTTCCCCAAGTCATTACCCCCCAATACGTTACTAGTCGGACTATTGGCCATGGAATCGAAGTCGCTGTCATGAAGGCTAGATTCCTCTCCTCTTGACCTCGTGTCTAAATTGTCCAGGGACGATTTCCGCTCATCGCTCACAGGTAAAGGAGATTGAGGAGATCCACCTGCACCATTCGATTCCTCTTTCGATCCCTTGTTCTTGACTGCATCAAAATCCCGCCCATCCATATTTATTTAAAGAGAAAAAGAAAACATACAGACTATAATTTAAAATAAAACTAAAAGAAGAAAAAAGAATCCAAAAAAAGGCAAAATCTTGCTTGAGAACAAATAGGTAATGAAACGATGAACACAATTGATATGCAGAGGGAAAAAATATTTCACGTACCTTGAGAAAGCCATTGCTCGCGTCTGGCATCAAGCTTGCATTGCTTCAATTTGGCAGTTCTGTTTGCCTGAACAGCAAATAAGAGATTAAAAAAGAATGAATTAACATAAAAAAAAATATGATACGTAAATTGAAATAGAAATATGAAAAACAATATGCAAATTAAGAAATAGCAGAGGAACCAAGATTGGTTATTTACCCTCTTTTTCTTCGCGAAATCCTTTGACGACACAGCAGCCTGACCGTTGATGATTGAATCAGAAACCATGGCTTCGACCTTGCACAAAACGATTGGTCGCCCAAAAACCCTAATTCGAGAAGAGATAAAACCCCAAAAAGGAGAACCAACGAAAGATGCAGAGCGAGAGATACAATGGATAACGAAAACCCCTGCGATGCGCTCGCTAAGCTCTTCTCCTTCTCAATTTCCAGTTTCCACGACACCCAAATTAAACCCTCCACGAATGTCTATATATAATTATCTAGTTACAATTATGCCCCTAATTGTCTACAAAAACTACGGAATCAACCATGCCCTTTCTTAAACCGATTTTGATAAAAGGGAATTTATTATCATCTTCCTATGTATCTTTTATTTTCTTTTTTTTTTTCAGACTCGTGTCTAATACTGGAAAATTGCATTTACTAGCCTTAATAACCTCTCTGACATTATTTTCTCTCTCACTTTCATTGCGCGTCTCAGCATATCTTCCGATTCGTTCTCGTACTTCTCTTTCGTAGCTACCAGTTTTTCTTAAAAAATTTATGTTGCGACTTGCGACTGACCAAAGAAGGGTATTTTCGACATCCTAGCAACATTGTGAATTTATTTTGTGCGGGACGGGAATGGCAGCTTGGTAAATAAAAAGGGATGGGTACGGCTTACTAGTTACTAGTAACGACAAGAGAACCGAGCCGAGATGGCGTGAGGGTGTAGCCATCCGAACGTGGAAACTTTGTGGGGAAGTCCGTTACAAGAGCAACGTGTAGGGTTAGATGGTGAAGAATCGCACGGTAAGTATAGGCTCGGAAGCGGTTCGTCAACTGGGGAGGCGTAGGCTGAATTTGTTGGTGGCGTGTGGGTGTATGTCACTGCAGTGGGAAGGGAGAGGGAGATAATGGATGTCGTTGGATTGCTAAGAATGAAATGGGACCTATTTCAGCAGTGTAAAGTGTTGCTTGTGATATAATGGAAGTGGCCCTACAATGCCACATCCCGACCTTGTATTGGGAACATCTCCTCGTCGAAAGGTGTTCCCAATACAAATGTCGAGATGTGCTGTGGGGTATTGTGGGGCGATGATGTGAAGTCTTTGATGATAGGAGTGGAATGGGAAGGGACAAAGACAAAAGCCTCCTTTTTTATAAAAAAGGTAAAAATAAAATAAAAAAAGAGATATCTTAACTTAGGCCTTGACTTAAGATGCAAATCGTAAGGGGAAATTGTTCAAAACTCATCATGATTTTTCACAAATTCTATTACATTATAATTTTTCAATACATCCATTAGAGTATCATTAAAATTCATTGACCTAAGTTGTCCACGTCAATCTAAATGCAAATTTTATGACCAAATTACTCTTGAATAACAAGTCAGCTTGTTAAACATTTTTTTTTTTTTACTGAAGTGCCCAAACTTCTTTCATATATAAGATGTCTGCTTGTTGAAATGAGAGTTTTTCTTTTTCTCAACAACCAAGGATGAGTCTTTGCTCTGAACGTACGTCCAAGAAAGAGTCTTCTTACTCTCAACGTCCAACGAACCTCTAACCAGTTATTTCACCTTCATTTTTTCCAATTTTGTTTAATTAGGGCATTCGTTTTCTCATTGAGTGTGGGGGTGGATTTTTGTTCCAAAACCACATGTTACTGGTTCCCTAACCAAAAGCGGTTGATGAACACATCAAAAAAAAACAAAACAAAACAAAACTTCGAGAGCACCCATCACCCACTAAATTCTAAAACGAACAACTTAATTGATTAGGTCTTCATTAGAATATTTCTACTATTTCTTCCTTTTGAAAATATATATATATATATGGTGGAGAAATTTCATGTTTCAAGGGTTAGGAGTGAGTGGATTCCTTTTGAAATGAATAGGGAATTTGATGTTCTGGTGGGAGATGTAATAACAATCATAGTAAATCGATCATTGTATGTGGATGTTACATTGTCTTACACTGAATCAAGAGAAGCTATGGTGATGCCAATCAAAGATGATCATAGGAACAAAACTTGGATTTTTTTCAAGCCTTTGACTTAGATCTGTAATTGACGGTTTGTAGCCTTCATCTTTACTCGCATTGTGGATTGGGTTCTAGAACACCGAATAAACACAGAGTTCAAGGGATCACCCAGATAGCAACTTGGAATGATATTCTAGTTCTCTCTTAACTATAAAATCTAAAGATGAAGTTGAGTCTAATATGCTGAAAAAATATGATCTAAAATTAACAAGTAAATAAAGAGCATCCTTCTTTTGATCTATATTGGTCTGGCCACATCATGATTCCATGTAGATGAAGCAGGAAAAATTTTCTAGAAAAGAAACTTAAAGTTCCTAGATAATTCTTTTATCATCATCTCTAACAGTATTAAACAAAGGAACTAAGATCAGTATGTTCCTGTAAATCTTTTTAATTAATCACTTCTGCTGAAATCGTCTTTAGTTAGTTTAATTCATACCCAAACACCGATCATACAACTACCATCGGAGGTCTTTCTCAAATGGTGGAAAAAGAAGCAGCAATCGTTTTCACATTCTCAGATGGTGGAAGAATCAGCGACAAATCATTTTCTTTTTCTCAGACGAGAGATGGAAGAAGTAGCGGCAATGGTGTTCTCTTCCATTCAAACTATTAGGGTTTTGGGTGAAAAAAATGATGCGGATAATTTTGGGATATTTTAAAATGGGTTGAACATAAAAAAGGGTAAAATAGTAAATTAACAATATCAGTCAATCAAGTTAATGTTATCTTGTTGACATGATGAGTTTAAGAGAATTCGTGAAAAGTCAGGGTCAATTTTAGATAATTTCCCAATCTTAAAATAAGTGTTAGCTGTTAGGTGCTACACTAACATTGCCAATATGTAACCCAACCAAATAAAAGAGAGAGAAGTATAGCATGTATTGCATTGTATGCATTTGGTTCAATTGAGAATTTGAGATTGAATTGGAGGCCGAATCATAATTACGCAATAAATAAAAATATTATTAATTAATATCTAATAATTATAATGTAATCTATATAATATATTAAGAAAAAAGATCACCCCAACCAAACAATCGAATATAAAGTTATGACCCCTAAAAATTTGAATTCAAATTAAAAAAAAATGAAACCAGGAGTGGTTCACCAGTTCACTAATTGGCTAAGTTGATCAACTGGTTTTGGCCCATATTTAACACCCCCGATTTTTGGGGTATGACCAAACTAACTGATGGATCGGCTCATGGTTTTTCCAATCCAACCAGTCGGTCCGGTCAAGCTCTTTAAACATATTTCTTTCTTCACCTCTTACGATAGGGAAAACCTATGATACTGAAAATACATGATATTCAAAAAGCTTTGAAAGGCATCCTGTGAATTTTCATGAACACCACCTAATTTGAATATCATAGTCGAACCCCTTACAATATAAAATCATGGAGTAATGGTAGGCCAGTGAGTTATCGGATGGTTGTCAGTTTTGGGCCCCAAAATTCAGAAGACATAGTAATGGCAACTAAACAATGGGATGACTTGTGATTTTTGAAAAGAGTATAGGCTCAATTTAGAAGGAGTACAAATACAAATGTGTACAGTACAAATATATACAAAATAATATAAAATATAAGATTTTGTATTCTACAAATTTATATTTGTACTCCTTCCAAACTGAGCCATAAATACAAATATGCACAGTACAAAAACATATAAAAGAATACAAAATATCAACGTTTTAAAAAATGACATGGAATCAAAATCATTCTGACCACCAGTTTTTTTATCAACGGTTCGACCGTATGATCCGAACGGATGATTCATACTAACAAAAAAATAAAAATAAGAACAGCGAAAACCATTGAATGGGTTGACAATTCAACCCTGGGTCAACGGGTTTTGGCCAAGGACTGAGTTTGGGTAAAGCGGAACTAGTTACCTGGACGGTTCCAGGGCTGAATAGTCCAACCATCCGGGCCAAGGATGGTTTGAAAACCATGCAAAATACAATGTTTTGCACTCTACATATTTGTATTTGTACTCCTTATAAGGTTTTGCACAAAACACATTGGTATTTGTACTTTTCCCAAAGGCTGTGCTTGAAAGCAATGTAAATCAATATCAATCTAAATATTTATGTTGATTCGATTTTGTTGACATTTGGAAAGAGTGTAAATCAAGACCGACGTAAAACTCCATTCTGATTTGGTTTTGTTAGCATTTGGATGGAGTGGAGCTTTATGTCATAAATAGATGTAAAACTTCATCTAAAGTAGAGTGTAAAACTCCGTTTTTCTTGTCACGCTTTTTGAAACTCAAAACAGTCACTTTTTATGGTTCAATGTAAAATGCTATCGATGTACTTTTACACCAATAACATTTAACATCGGTTCTAAACGCAACCAAAGGCTCAGTTTAGAAGGAATACAAATACAAATATATTGACGGCAAAATATTGTATTTTGTATTCTTTTGTATGTATTTATATTGTACATATTTGTATTTACACTCTTTCCAAATTTAGCCTTGAAGAAAACAATGCCTTAAGGAGGTATTCTTCAATGTGAACTATTTTTCTTGTGAGCTCCAAAACAAATTAAAACCATATGTTTTGGAAACAGATTGGTTCTTAAAATAAAAAACATGGAAAGCATATTCTTGGCTCTATATATGTCTTTTTTTTTTGTTTACAAAGCCAAAACAAAAAATGTATTTTTGAATTTTTGGTTTGAAAAAAAAAACATATTATTATTTGATGATTCATCATCATTTTTTATAAAACATATATATTGTACTCCAAAAGTTTTTTTTTTTGTTTTAAAACCCATTATTTTGATGGTTTAAAAAACATGAATTGTTTTCAAAAACAAAACCATTTTTTTCTGCTTCTCAAAACAAAAACACAAATCAAGGCTATGATTATATTTGAATAAGCTTTTGTTTTTGTGTTTTTTGAAACATTTATGTGTGCTTTATGCAGTTTGGTAAATATATTTTCAAAGCATGCTTTTAAAATTAAAAACATAAATAAATGTTTGGTTACATCATGTTTTTTTACCACTTGTGACATGATAAATTCCATGTGTCAAATTGTTATTTTTTAAATTTATAATATAAAAATGTCACGACTCATAGCTATGCAATATGGCACAAATTAATGCTATGTTGATGTGGCTTATATTTTGCAATATTTATGGACATCAAACTTGGCATATACTTTGTCATATTTCATAAATTTGCCATGTATCATATATTCATGGGCATCAAACGCGGCATATATCTTATTTGGCCCAAAGTATGAAGCAAAAGCATGAATTAATCCAAAATAACTTCTTGCTTTTTGTTGTGCAAATGTTTTTACCTTGGGTGTTTTGACTAAAAGGCTAACGAAGCACAAAAGTACTTCAAAAAAGCTTATCCAAACAAATCCTATATTTTTTATGTTTTGTTTTCTTTTATTTTTCTAATGTGGCAATTTAAGAAACAAAAGAAAAAAAAAAAAAAAAACATTTACGTTTGTTTTAAAACTAAAACACCCCAAGTATCACTCATTTATTAGTGTAGTAACTCACACTTCTCATATGTTTTACAATTCTGCCCCCAAAGTAAATATCACATTTAACGAGACAATTCCTAACATTTTTCTCATATTTCATCTTTAAATTCCAAAATTTTCTCTCTTTTACTGCACCATTTGTAGTGGATAACCGATAACTACGATTACGATTCAGTGTGTAGCTTTTCAATAAATAACAAAAAGTCATAACAACGAAGGATTTAACCAGTACTAAGAAAAAAGACACTAAAAATTGAAAAGAGCCAATAATTACTTTGTTGACATGGAAATGACACATTACAGGACAAAGTTGATGCGTCTCTTCCTGGATCTACTCTCTTTATAGGGCAAAGAAATTCAAGGGTTTTACAAAGGCCATTGAGGGTTTTCATTAATTATTTTCTACAGCTAGCTGAAGTGACTGAACTGAAAAGCTTATTATTACTTTGTACTTTGTCTTTTAACAAATAAATTTTCAAGGATACTATGGGCTTCTGGCTGAAGCTGAAGATGGATAAGAAATATTTTATTACAGATAATTTGACCCACTAAATGCAACAAGTCATTCATTTCAGCAAAACTTCAGATGTTGTCAAATCACGTTATATTTAGCTGAACTCTTCTGCCTTGGATACGAGGACACATGACATACAGATAGCTCTGCCCCCAAATCCATAAATTGGAAATTTGGCATGAATCTGATGTTTCAACAATCAACTAAAGCAATGACTATAAATTGATCAGATGAAGTATAGCGTTCTGATTTGGGACTTTTTAGCAAAGCCCCCTTTGATATGGTTACATCTCAATCCTCCAAACAATGGACAGGTGGCAAGTTTTAACTTTTGAGAGCTCCAGACCCGTCTAGTTCGGGTGTTCGGACCCTGGATCTAAACTTGCTTAATATCTATCGTTCATCATACTTGGATTCTTAGTGCAAAGTTGAAAAAGAGATGCTACTGTATTTAAACTGGGGAAAGAAACAAATAAAACCACAAGTAATGAATAAAAAACACAGAAAATGCTTCATTACTGATTATTTCACTGCCTATGATGGGGAAAAAACAAGTTTCAATTCAATTCTCCTTCAACTTGTATACTCAAGCGGGTTAGTTGGCTTACGGACCACAGGGAGTATTTACACCAATTGCAACAACAGGAAAAATAACAGAGGCTGTCGTTCGTTTCTGGGTGGAAAAAACAGTAAACCAATGAAATGAAGATATATCTCTCAGTTTTACATCAGGATAAAACCCTATTTACAGAAGTGGCTCCAAATGCCCACTGACGCGAAATTACAGGATACCACCAGATTTTACGACCCTTTCCCACTTCTCCTAGGTTGTTATCGCGAAAAAACCAATGCGAGGGAGAGATGCCTTCGGGAAAGCGTTTTAGTAGAGAGATTGGCAGCAGCAATAATCCACAACCCCATGGGAGGTACCTGTCCGGTAACAGGAGGCTTGATGAGAAACACAATTACATAGTGAATTTCCGAAGAAAAAAAATGACCAAATGCAAGCTTTCTAAGAGTTACTGGTAAAAGTTATAAAGAGTATCCAGAATCTACCTTTGATATCCCAGCAAGGCATACTAGGAACCAGATAGCAATCTGTGGAACCGCTGTACTCTTACAGCATAACCATTCGATACCTTTGCTTGGTCGTGGCAAGAAGAGATGCCCGTAGATAAACATCTCTTTTTTCTTCTCTTTCGAAACAAGAAATCTTCTGTATCAAGCACATAGGAGACCTGCCAATGTACATGTCTCATGAGCCCACAAAGCACTGAAGCAACAGTTTAAACCAATGTTGACCAGTTGGGTCGAATAGGGAAACAGGGAAAGCAGGGGTTATCCCAGTTCAGTCAGTGTTATAGTGTGATTTCGGTATTTTTGAGTTTGGACCACTAAAAGTGAGGCTAAGAGATGGATCCAATTAGGTTTAAAGAAAATATTGATTTATACATGCCTAGTCTGTAATGGAGCCCCTCACAGGAACACAGGATATATAAATGGATTTCCTTGCAAATATAAGGGAGTAAGAGCTCCATGATCTTTCTTCCTCTAGCAATAAATGCTCAAAAATCAAATTTTGAAGCTTAATAAGTAGATGAGAGAGAAAAATACCTTCGATGAATTACAAGCTATCTTACACTCCAGACCATTGACCACTGTAACTCCCTCGAGAGCTTTGCATGTAGTAGAAAATTCATCATCACTTGAACTTTTGCGTTTGTTTCTGGAAATGTAGACTCTTATTGACACGTTGTAACTTATTTAACTAATAAATGGGCTTAAAGCAATGTGAGCTGTGATCTCCTTACCTTTCAAGGAATACACCATGCATCTCCTTTCTGTCAGGAGCAACTGACAGGAAGTCATTGTGCAGATAAGCTGAAAAGTTCGGTTCCATGGAAACAGCAGTGACTTCAGGCTTTTCATGCCCATAGTCCATCAACTGGATGGACAAACGGGTGGGACTGGGACTTGATGACTGCAAGAAATAAAACTATTCATATATCAACGGAAAATTATTCTCAACCCCTCCCCCCTGCCCCCGAGAAAAAAAATAATAATAATATAAAAGGAATACTACATTTAGATGATATTAAACAAAAGAAAACCAGCTAAAAACATACACATTCAAATCGATATATGTTCTCTTCATGAAGAAGAACACGTGCATTTTCATGATAAACTAAATCAATAAATCTCCCAGGCTGCCTTGATTTTTCATATGCATATAGTTGAAGAAGCTTGTTGTCCATCTCATCAGTTGCAACTGTTTGAAGCTGTGGTGAATGCTATATACATAAGTTTTTGGAGTAGAAACGCTAACAGGAAGAGAAAAGATTAATCATTAGTTACTTACCTGTTTGACAAGTTTATATATCAACTTATCTAATGTAAACAGAACATATGATTGAGTTCCAATAATAGCTCGGCAATCATCCTCGAACTTTGTATTATCAGCAGAACCATCAAGCAAACTGTATAATGCACTCATAAATCTGGGCATCACAATTACAAGGAGAAAAAAATAAATCCCCAATTAATGCAATTTGGACATTTTAAGTAGGTAAAGAACTAAAACTGCAAGGTTCAATCACCTGGCATAGAGATCAGGAGGGCTTGTGTCCTTTGAAGTTCTCCATTTTTTTTCAGCAGTTGATGAATTCATCTTTGCTGATAGAATTCTCTCATACAGTGTCTGAAATGGCAGATTAAAGAAAAAAGTTGATCAAATCACATAAAAATTTATGAGTTCATAATATATTTCAAAACAAAATAGAACTTACTTGATGAAGCCTAAAAAGCACATAGAAGGAATCATTTCCATAAAAAATTCGTGAATCCTTCTTTTCTTTGTCCTGTAGAACAGAAGGGACATATTTTGCCAGAGGCTTCACCCTCATCAGAAAACGTTCTGAAAATGGCAATGAGATACTATCTCCTTCAACATCATGTGCATCAGCCATCCCCTCAGCCTCTCCTTCACTTTCAGCCTTATTGTCATGCTCATCATGGTCAACATCTTCCTCCTCTTCATGATCTTCATGGGAGCACTCTTCACCATCACCTGACTCACTACCAGAAACATCACCAGCTTCAGAGGCATTCTCACTGTCCTCTGTTGACCTTTGAGCACTTTCTTCACCCTCATCATCAGCATCTGCATCATTTTCTCCTCCTGCCTCGCCACAGCATATTTCTTCTTCTTCTCCATGCCTTGTTTGATATTGCCTACTTGTAGCAGTATCCTTTGCCTTAGGCACTGCATCAATACCAGCATCTCCATAGCCAACAAAGTTATCTTCTTCAAAATCCTCATTAGGGGGGGATAACTCACCCTCTTCTCTCTCAACTTTTAAGTGTCCAACAGATTCTTCATGATATCTATGGACTTTAGAGCCATCTGTTATTACCCCATTGGCTGGTACAGTGGGTCTTGCATTGTCACCACCCTACATGGTGCATGAAATTAAAATGAAAGTGTCATCAGGAAGGGAAAAAATGTTGGATAATGCTAACTATCAATCCCACAAAACAGAAAACACAGTTGCACATTGGTCTAACTCAACCCTGCACGTGCATAGAACTTTGACTTACTGATGGAACTTTCATAAAACTATATGGTGCATGAAAAATACGATGAAGAGAATACCATTACAATTATTTCATTAAAGATACAAGCTGCAAACCTTTTTTTTTAAATATAAATAAAGAAAAGATTTTATTTCTAGAAATAAAAGATTACAAGAGAGAAACAAAACAGACTTCATAGCAAACAAACAAATACCCCAAGACTTTTTAAGAATTCAGAGAACACCAAAAATCTGACCCAAAGTCTTCTTTCTTTAAGCCTAGAAATTCTGGCATTATCAACACCCAAATCACTGAAGAGACTGATCCTTGCCACCACCTCTTCCACCCTTTTCTTCTTATTCTCAAAAATTCTGTTTCTTTCCTTCCATACTTCCCAACACACAGCAAATGGAATGCAACTCCTCAGAATTTTCACCTTGGTACCACCCTGAAATCTTGGCCAGAAACCAAAGATTTCAGACTGACCTGAGATTGACCATATATCCACTTTAAACAGCTTGAAAAACACTTTAAACAGCTTGGTAAAACATTGCAATCTGGCACTACTCAGCTAATAGACATTGCTACTCTTGGGGGAAAATTGTGAGATAATTACTTTGGGATATTAGCTTTTAATAGCATTTGCAGATAAAGCCGCTAACTTCCCCTAAAGTTGTGTTTGGTTTGAAAGAAAAGGTGGGCAAAGGAAGGGAAAGGTAGGGAAACCTATACAAATCAACACCAAACACAGCCTAAGAAAAAGCAGAGTAGGAATTCCCTAAACATATAACATTTTGAACAACACAAAATGGCATCAAAAACTGCAAAACAGAAAAAAAAAATTACATTAAGTAATGGACAAGAGAATTAGCTAGCTTTCACCCTTCCCTTACAAATGACTTAGCTATACTTATCTGAACAGCTCTGCCTGTCAACAGGTTTTCCTCCCTCATACATCAAGAACCATAAGCACCACCCCAACAGAAAGAAGAAAGATCAAAATGAGCATGTTGTATCTTTAAATGAGAAAAAATAGACTCGTCCTTTTGAATATGTGTATACCCCAGAAAAAAAAGACCAAAATGAGAATATTGTATTCTTTAAATGTGAAAAAATAGACTCATCCTTAAGAATATGTGTATACCTCAGATGATGGTGGAACATCAGTACTAAGCTTGGGCTCATTCCCACCCTCATTTGCAGTTTGACCAGGTCTGGAAGGAGGTCCGCTAAGACCTTGCAACAAAAAAGTATCTCAATAATCCAGTAATGATTTCAAAATCAATTAAAAAGAAACAAAAAAAATTCAAGATTAATTAAAATAGTAACTTCAAACTTCTTGGGCAAGCAAATTATATTAAAATTAATAGTTTCATTACTTTGAAGCCAGTTTATATTGACCTGATGTGATTTCCATATTGGATCTACCAAGATTTTGTTCTGCTCTAGCAGCAAGTGATGTGTTAGAATTGGTTAGCCGTTCATTAGATGTAGCCTGTATGTTAACTCCAGACATTTCATCTGTCATAAGGGCATTATTCTGCACTTTTCCATTCTGAGGAGTATTGCATGTATCATTTCTACGGGCAACTCGATCTGCATCATGAAGGCTATCTTCTTTGGCAGAAGTATCCCCATTTGCCAGCCTATCCCTGCATGAACTTGCTTTTTCTGGTGCAGTACTGTCATCTCCATTGCTAGTAGGGTTTAATTGCTTGGAATTTGTAACAGCAGCATCAGCTCCAGGACTCCCATCACTTTCTCTGCTTGCTACACTACTTTTGACAGTATTGTTTTTAGCTTTTACAACATCTTCAGTATCTTCAGCACCCTGTGGCCGAGGAGGAACACCCAAGATGGGTTCCAAGAATGTTGTCCAAATCTTCATCACTTTGTCCAACTGTTCTGTTGTTGTGCAAACCTCTCCACATGAATATTTGATTAGCTGGTATAAATCTTCAGGAATGTCAGAATCAGAGTACTCAAATTCCAGATTTGGAATTATAGGTCGTCTGTTTCCAGCAGCAATAGCAAGAAGAACATCATCCTCCTTCCGCTTCTTCTCATTAATTTCTTTAATCTCAGCTAATAAGGCTGTGCATTCAAAAGCATAAAAATTAGAAAAATAGAAGCACATAAAACGAGAAAGCAAAAGAATGTATAAGACACCAAAAGACAATCTTGCAGGAGCAATCAAACAGATTCATTTATAGAATAGCAAAAGATAAAATGTTTTTTAGTTCTTAATGGTAAAATTGAATTCAACTGAGCTCCTATAGTTGAATGATCTGACTATATTTTCAAACTATAAAACTCAGTTTCAACTCCCCCCCCCCCTCCAAAAAATAAAAGAACTATAAAACTCAGTCCTTGGTAGATTAACTTACCCTTCGTACTCAAACTCTTTGTATCCTGTTGCTTGAAATAGAAGCTTCGGTGATCAAGTGATTTGTGATAGTTCTTAGCATATATTTCAGCCCAAACTTTATTAAAATCTGCACGACACCTTGTCCATTCCTCTTGTTTCTGCTTCAAGCGAGTTAATATGACAGGCAATGCAAGGGGAGCATTCTTTCGCAACACATCCATCACATCCAGCCCATGGTCACCATACAGGCGTTCAATGCACCTTAAATTTAAAGCTACAAGAAGAAAGAAAAATATATAAACAGTGGTCAGAAAATATGGAGGTAAATGAGCTCAAATATCAATACATGAAAGGAAATCCCAAGATTATCATATACTTAATCAGATTGCATATATAAACCTGTAAAGTAATCCTCCACACGAATTGGACTGTCTGGTATAATTGTATTGTCATTGAGCTTGTCTAATAACTCCTCTACACGCTTAGTAGTTACATTAACTGATTCCAACAACATGTCCAGCTCAAACCTGATATTGTTTAGGAAAAGAAAACGACAGTAATTACAAAGTTAAAGGAACTAGTATAAAACCCCAGCTCAGAATTTCCATTGTAGATAAGTTTTGCAAGCATCCCTTGGGACGTGGGGCAGAGAGGTTTTGGATCAAGGAATGCGGTGTACAAAAAACAAATGAGAAGTTAGGTTTTCTTATCTATGGAAACCACATCAAGCACCAAAAAACTTCTTTCACTTTTTTTTGGTTATACATTTGATAAAAAAAAAGCTCCAAAAATGCTTAATCGTCATGTCACATATAGTTAAATCAGGAAAAATATGGGAAAAAATCATTGCTCCAAATCTCAAGCAGGTCTTTTACCTATCATCTTCACATCTGAACAGGCTTTCTTCATACTGATTTTTGCGCATGTGTTTAAAAGAGTAGTCCTCACTACCTGAAGTCACTGACACCCAATGATCATTCAATACTTGATAACCAAGATCTGTTCTATGACTTGACGAAGGTATAGGATACTGCAGGACAAACATCAAAGAATGTCATGACCACCTAAATACTAATTCAGATCAAAGTATCAAAAGAAATACCAAGAAGATAGTGAAAGAATTGCCTACATTCTTTGGCAGAAGCCGGTAACTGGGAGTACAGCGTTGACAATTAGAGAGGTCAAGCTCTGAAATGGGTTTAGCTATAAACTTCTCCTTGTTTGAATACAAAGGAACCTTGTGACCCCCAACACCCTTGTCATGCCTTTCCCTTTCTTTATCCCTCTCTCTTTCACGGTCTCTATCTTTCTCCCTATCATCCCTTTCCCGCTCCCTGTCTTTTTCCTTGTCTTCTACTTTCACTGGTCTGGGTAAGTGTCCTTCATTCCACAATGATTCTGCAATAAATAAAAGTTTGATGAGATAAATCTACACAAATAACTAAAATACCTTGAGACATCCAGCAAGCAGTCTAATCGGGCATTTGCTAGTCTCTACTTGGGAATGGCTCGTCTTGATAATACTAATCAATGAATAATAAATAATCTTATATTGATACATTAGAAGACAAAAGCATGAAAATTATACTCAACAACTGCCCTTATCATTAATGGAAATAAGAAAAGGTATGTTGTTTCACATACTTTTACTCATAACACCAGCAAGAAATCCATCTGCAGAACACATCTCAATTAGAAAAAATACAAATAAGAGCAGGATATGCAGGGAAAAAAAACTTTTAGTTTCCAAAACTTACCAATCTTCTCACAATGGGTCAAAAATTCATTGAACCCATCCATAAGATCTGGATATTTTCCAAGCAAATCACCCATCTGAAAGAAGTGCAAATTAAAAAAATTCTGAACCAAGATTGTCATCATAACAATATAAGCTTTACCAATGAGATTGAAATCAAATTCATGTTCAATACTTTTAAGGCTGCAAATGGATCAGAGAAAATTGGATATGCCTAGATCCAAATTTCATTCATTAATATCTGGATTCAAATCAAAATTTATATGCTGGATTTAGATCTGGCTCAAATTCAGATATTAAATTCCATTAACAAATTAATTATCAAAATATTACATAGTATTAATGAATTAAAATGACTGACATTGTATAAAATGAATAGAATGACTTGAATATAACTCTTGTGAGACTTGAACCTACGAATCTTAGTAAACATATAACATTTAAATCAACTCTACTAATAGATACATAATAATTTTGTGTATATATAAGCAATATAAAGCTAAACATTATCATATCAGATTGTAACAGATCGAGTTATGGTGGATACGTAATCCAATTAGAAACAAATTGATTTTAGATTGCCTTAATTGGGTTTAATTTGAACTCAAATTCAGACAAATGGAAAGCAGTTGCGACCTTAAATACTTTCATGAATAAAAGGGATGCCGCACAGTATATTCATGTTGACGAAGACAAGAAAGATTAATAGGTTCAAACTCAGCCAAGTCTATACACTCTTGGTCTAAGCTGGGCCTGACCAGAACTCAGCCCTATATATGTTGCCAGAACCCATTTTCTAAATAAACAAATTGAACAATATAATATAACAACAGACAGACTGTATTTAGGTAAACTAGTCCTGTCATCAGTGCCAGAACCCATTCATTACTAAGGGTTATCTAGTCCTGTCAAAGGACTATACTTGGTTGTCTCATTATCAACTTTTCTTCTTATTCTCTTTCATCTGTGCTCTCCTATTTCTGTTGTAATACATTTCTCTTATCAGTTATTGGTTAACATGCATACATATAAATAACAGCTCTATATAAGCATCCAGTCATAAGATCTGGTTAAAGAACACCCCAACAATTCTTATCAAAATAAGGAACAAGGAAAATATGAGGCATACCAAAGTTTGCAGTTCAGATCTTGTGATTATTTCTGTGCTATAAATATGAAGGCATTTCAAGAATTCCTGATAATCATCAGAATTACGCAGTTTCTCCTTAACTTTCTCACAAAAAGTAAATTCTTGGCTGTATGCACCTATCAAGACATGGAAAAAAAAAGTTTCTTCAGATAAAAATAAATAAAGTTACAAATCAACTAGATCATTCTCAAAAGAAATACCATAAAACAGCCTGCCCTGCCTATTTGAACTTGAAAAGCCAATTTCACCAATAACAGAAGAAAGATTACAATGGCATTTGTAAAGATACAAATCATGGGTTTATACTTATATTCTACCTATCCAGTAGTTGTGAATTTGACATTTGAACTACATTGTTAGTTCAGTACCAACTTAAATATACTGACTACTTGGTTTCAACAAAAAAAATCCTCCTATTAATATTAGAACCTGTGAAATATGAAGTCTTCAGTGTTATTGTCAATGAACACAAATGTATTATCAAAAAATACCTCGTCATGCAATTCTAATATATTTCCAATGGATAAGCAAATCCAGCAATATCAGTGAAACTGAGACCAGAACATGTTAGCAGTCCCTATGTGGGTGGATTCAGTTTTAAGACTGATTTTAGCAGTCTAGTAATTAAAGTAAATGAAACATGCCGATATCAAATTCTCAGTTGGTCCTATTCAAAGATTGTTGAAATTGTTCCAAAGTGAACATTTAAGTTCACATGATCAAGCAACCAGGTAATACCAATGAGAATGAAAGCTACTCTTTGAAAACCTTTTGGTGGCTGGTTATTGCATGTATCTACCCATGCATCTATCAGGCCAATATGCTAATTTTAGAACCTAGAAAATCAAGCAACATACATCATGTCTACTAACCTCTCCTACGTTCTTGACTTCTTGTAATGTAAAAACTTGGTTACATATGAACCTACACCATTCGTAGCCTAGAAAGTACATCTGATCATTTCATGAAAGTAAATAAATTCCCTGTATCATATGAAATTCTAGGCTAACAAGCAAAGTTAACAAGTTTTCTAAATAAGGCACTCAAATATGTAATTTACAAGTAGGCAGCTCAACCAACTAACATAAAAACCCAAAAAAAAAAGCAGAAAGAAGCCACATACTCAACGTCTTTGCTCGTTATCAAATTATATAATCAAGCACTCACTTTTCAAGGCATTTTTATCATCAAAAGAAGATGATACGGCATGCATTCCAAAATTTTCAGCACCTTCCCCACCTTGGCTTATCTGCTCAGCTATGGAGTCTTCAACCCTCCGAGAAGATTTCCGTTTATGGGTAAGACGTGACACGCTGTTGAAGTCCCTACTGCTTTCATGCTCGGTATCCTTATCATCCCGATCACGGTCTCTCCTATCCCTATCATCCTTCCTCTCCTTGTCCTTTTCAGAGCGCCTTCTCTGCTCTTTATCCCCTTTCATGACTGTTCTATCATGGTCTGTATCAGGACGGTCAACACTTAGATCACGATCAGCATGAGAAGTAAATGTCCTCTCCTTCTGACAAGTATGCAAATAAAACATGATGTCAGTTCTCTATCCAATTACAAGACGCCAACAAAACCACTAAAAAACTTTGAAAAAGAAAAGAGGAAACAGGAAAGAGGGAAGGAAGGATACCTTATCCACATGAATTTGCCGCAACGTAGGCATGGCAGTGCTTCGCTCGTCACGGCGAAGAAAAGAATTTCTGCCTGATGGAAGATGCTGTGTGGGCACTGTTGCTGATGAATCAGGTAGAAAGTGTGTGAACTCACTGAGCAAATCAGGATGGTCATGGAAAAGAGTAGCCACCTGGAAAGAGAAAGAAATCAAACTTGCAAATGATCTAAGTGCTTAAATGAAGGAAACATGCTGTAAAAACAGATGAGACAGGAGAAAAAAAAAAAAAAAAAAGATGAAACCCATTAAGGACACCAATGAGGACATGAAGCATTCTGCAATGATACCTCCTGATAGACCTCAGTAATGGACTTGTTCTCCTTTCGGTACATATTTAGAATGTCTAAGAATGATTTGTATACATGATCATCATTTTGGAACCGTGTCTGTAGGAAAAAAAAAAAAAACATTAATTGAAAACCCTACGGAATAAAAATTACAACTCAATATTTAACAATGTGGTAGAAGTCTCACCTTGATCTTGTTTACAAAATTTATTGCTTCTTCAAACTCAACAGGCTTCTTTGGTGGAGTTTCATCCTCAAGTGGGAGGGTGATCTCATACCCCTTTGGCAAGAAGGTATTGAAGCCTAAAATTAAGTCCCTATGCCCTTTGAATAATTCTTTCACCCTTGATATGACCCCAGTAGTGTCAATTCTGCAAGAAACAAACAAAGATCAAGGAATCAACGATCCAGACAAACTGGTGAGAAACCCAAAAAACAAAAAAAGAATGACATAATGACCGCACCTCTGGGCCTTGAAATCTTTCATGACCTCAAGAAACTCGTCATATTTTTCCCTTTTATCCTGAAAAATGTCCTTGACCGCCTTAAGATAGGCTAGGGCATCGTTTGTTGTTAGTTTCTGTGCACCTTCTCCCCCTCCACTTCCTCCTCCTCCGCCACCTCCTCCAACTGCACCTCCTCCGCCTCTAGGGACTTGGGGTTGCCCGGAGCTTCATTGCCAGAAAAGAGAAACCCCAAATTCAGTAAATACCCCAAAAGAACAAAGCTCGTTTGACAATATTTGCATATACACAAATTCTCTTTAAGAATAAATCATCTAAAAAAAGGAAGAGATCAAATCATGTTTCCAGAGAAAAAAATGACTTATTTTTCCGTTTTATCTTTGAGAAGAACAACCAACACCAGAGTTGAACTTCTGGTGCAAGTTAACGGAAGAAAATGATCTGGCAATAATAGTCTAAAGAATTACCTACAACATCCTCTAGGAATTAAATAACAAGAGAAAAAACAACGAAAAAAACAGTAACCTGAAAGAGAAAAGCTTTAGATATTCAGCAATTTTAAATGAAAACATGATTAACAGCAACATCAAAAATAGCAGAAAAGCAGCCAGCACACAACGAAAAGGTTTAATCCCATTACTAAAAAAAATAAATTTAAAGATATAAAACAGCAATAAGCCATAACCACAGCTAGAGAGAATGAAAGATGGAAAATGCTTAAAACATACAAAATCAGGAAATTAAAGATAAAGATTAGAGACTTACGCTTCCCCTCGAGAGGAAACGAGGGGTCGTTTGAGTTGAGAGCCCATGTAAACGTCTTCTCTAGACCTTTTCATCTGTGCAGAAAACTCCTCTTCAACAAACCATGTTTCGTGTTAAAAACAAAACCCCGATTAAAAATGAAAATCCAAGAAACGCACGTCGTCGGTTCAGAATCTTCAAAACAATCGCTTGGAAACTTCACCCTGAAACTTGAACGACTGAGTAGATCTAACCCAAGAGAATTCAATTCGAACCTCTTCAATAGATCACCTTCAGAGAACAAATCCTGCACGAGAAAAAGAAAAAGCAGAAAATAAACAACAGATTACTTCACGAAAAGGAAACAAGCGAGAAATAGTAAGAGAAAAAATAGAAATTGTGAAGGGAAACAAACATTGCGAACAAGAATAGAGATCGTTTGGAGTTCCAGAGGCGCAAATCCCTTCAAGGTGAAGCTTTGGAAGACCCGAGCGAACACAGAGCGATGAAGGTTTGAAGAAATCTCGCACCTCTGTGAAGAAACCTTGAGAGGGAAATCGATAATTAAAAAGACTTAAGAATAGGCCTTGTTTTGCTTTGCATTACAGGGAGATGAAGCAAGGAAAGAAAGAAAAAACAAAAGAATATGAGAACGAGAGAAGAAGAGAAAACAGAGAGAAAGTTTACATGTGATATTATTGTATATAAGAAAGAGGGGAGCGGAACGGAACACTTCGTTTATAAATGGGCTATGGGTGTTGAGAAGGGGCTATTTCACGTCCGATTGCCGGTCACCCTCTCGTTAACGGACACTGTTGTCCACCGGCTATTAGCAGTCCAACTCCGACCGGTTTAAACCGGCATACTTCAATTTTTCTCTGTAAAGAACCGGTACACTTGAATTGAATAGATGTTTTGTTTTCTCCTCTTTTTTTCTTTTTAGTGTAATTCTTGGTTTCATCTTTCATGTTAGGATTTAGGGTTAGGGACTTCGGGATTTCTTTTCTTTTCTTTTTGCGATTTTTTTATCTAATAGAAATCCAGAATCATTATTTCCTTGTCTGACTTTTGATTTTCCATTCTGAAGTTGGATTTGTATTATTATAATCGTCGTCGTGCCAATCTATCTAATCGGATGACTGAGATCATTTCATCAACAAAAGGTTTGGTATTGATGTCAGACGAATTAAGGGTAATACTCACTGGTCACAATAACTGCTAAGCGTAACAGCGTTACATTGTATCCGAAGTACTTGTCAGAAAGCAAAATATTTGGAACCCAATATGCACGTGAAATAGGAACTGCAACCCGAAGTGACAAAACCGGATCGAACCGGATGAGCCGGACGACCCCGCCGTTTAAATCTGTGGTCCGTGTGGATCAGTGGATGTGGGATGTCAACGAGATTCAATGCTTTCGGGGCATCAGATATTGCTATTCCACTCCTTTCGAACGGTGGAGATGTTTCCTTGACCCAAAAAGGGGGTGAGTTGGGAGATGGTAACTTCTCTCTCTGGTTTAGGGCTTATCTTCATGTTATTATTGAGATCCGCTCCAGATCCGTATCTGGACGGGTTTGGATCGTTTGGAAAGGGTTTCAACTTCGATATAAGAAAGGACAAGATTCAGTTTTACTATTTTGATCCCACACTAATTCGGATATAGTATAGTATAGTATATTAAATATAAATAATATTTAATATATATACATATATATTATCGGGGGCGGGACAGGGCAGGGACCTCAATCCCCATCCTTGACCCCAACTTTGACCAGGGATTCCTATTAATCCCCATCCCTGCTCCACCAAAACAATTCCTGATGTAGCGCGATCTAACTACTCCCTATTGGAGGATGATCTGGCTTCCAGTCGGACGGCGAGCTAAGAGGATCTACAAGAAAGGATCAAAGAACCCGGGGTGGCTAACCCAACGAGGTCGCTCCGATGCTTAAGTTAGTAATTTGATGCGAGCTGAAGAGCTTTGAGAGTTTAGAGAGCTAGAGAGATTGAGAGCAGAAAAATCACGCGTACCTTGTGCCATCGGGGTTGGAGCCTTTATATAGTTGAGTAGTCATGGGGCACACGAAAGAATTTCGGGATATCCGGGATGTGGAGATAGAGTTCGCTCCACTTCCGAAGGAGTAGTATACAGGTAAGGCTTATCTCGTTCCACTTTCGATTCCGACGGAGTCAGGATAAGTCCTTATCGTGATCCCAGAAAAGTCGAGGTCTGTTAATTTATCGTGATCTCGAGGGATTCGGGATTCGTTGGAAAGACCTCTGAAGTTGGTTGCGCGGGAATCAGTTACGTGGCGATTCGAGTTGTTGGTTCCAAACTAGCACTTCGGTCTTTTAGTTCCAAACTGACTTGAATACCAAGGTGCCTCAATGCCGAGGTGAGACTTGCGCTGAGGTGGCCCTACTCTGAGGTGAGCCTTAAGCTGAGGTGACCTTTGTGCCGAGGTGACTGAATACGCGAGCTCAATTATTGCGAACTGAACTTGTCAGGCTGAGTTGTCATCTCTTGGTTAGGTCATGTCCATGTGTCCCCTTTTTACTAGGTCGAGCCAAATCACCCTTCATCAATCTCCATCTCTGGCCCCATTGAGTCGAGGAAGTCAGGTCCCCATCAAATTCTGCCAATATATATTGAAAATCAACCTCAACAACCCTTGTATATGTTTCCTTGCTTTTCTTTTTCATTTCCTTTTCTTTTCCAAATCAAACACAATATTATTGAATATGGATGCAACTTGAGTGGGCTCAGCCTGAAATTTTACACGAGTTAGGTTTCGATTTTCAGTCTTCGGATTGGGCTTAGGCCTAAGAAGTCGGGCTTTTATATTTTTCGGGGTGGACCTAAGCCTAGCCCTTAGGTAGCACAACCCAACTATATATATATGTGTGTGTGTGTGTGTGTGTGCGCGCGCGTGTGTGTAATTTTAGAATGGGTTCATTGACCAACTCAAGCACACCTCAGGCCTGAGCCCAACCCAAGTGCATCAAATTACCTTGTGGGTTGAACTCAAGTTGGGAAGGTTGGGCTTGACCTCGAGCTTAGGCCTTAAGAAAAAATTTTAGGGTCAGGCTCGAGTTGACCATAAACCTGACCCAACCCGCCCAAGTTGCACCCTTATTATTGAATTGTGTGTATAAAAACTATGTTTTATAATTATGTATAATATTTTAATGAGGTAAGTACAAGGACTCTCATGGTAGTATATTATAAAGGGATGCATCATTTGATATGGTAATTTATGTACCCTATGGCAAAAGGTCTGTTGTCTAAGTAGGTGTTTGGCATTCTTGAATTACCTTGGTGATCTTGAATCTTTAAATTGGCAATTCTTGAGGAAAGGAAGGGTTTCTTGAATCTTTAAATTGGCAATTCTTGAATTACCTTGGTGATCTTGAATCACTAAAATGACATGGCACGCTTAAGTTTGAAAAAGCTGATTTCTTTTCTGAAATGTCATACAGTTATTATTATAAATATAATATAATAATAAGCCAAACCACTTTAAATGCCAATCAGATTGCATCTCAATTTTTTTGTGCTTTTTTTTTAAAAAAAAAACATGTAAAATGAAATACTTGTGAATTAGGGCCTACTTGTGAAACGAAATGCTTATGAAAATGCTATGGTGCCAAACACCCACTAAATTTGATAGTTTGGGTTGTCATTTGTCAATAGGGCTTTTCACTATGAGATATGATTAATTTACCCTACAGTAATTCATCATTGATATAGAAAGAAACTAGATTAAATTTGACAACATTTGCTGTCCTCAGGGCTCTCATTGTTTGATATGTTAATCAATATGAATTTCATATAAAAACGTCAAGGACAGCATCTGCTTGCCTCAGGGCTTTTCACTCTATATATTTGCATTTGTACTTCTTCCAAACTCAGCCTAAAGATGAGATGGTATTAACTAAACACAATAGCTGTTTAGCAGGATGCAGCTATGGGTGAGCATTCGGTTTATTTAGTTAAAAACCAAATTGAATAAACCAAAACTGAATTTTTTGATTCGATTTTTTCGTTGCTTCAATTAAAACCAAAATTCAATAATATATATATATATATATATATATATATATAACATAAAATACATATTAATATATATACATATATATTATGAAATCAAATTTCATTATATTATATATTAATATATAAATATATTATTATTATATATTACATGTTATATAGCAAAGTTTGGTTAATTTGATTTTTTTGATTAACCAATTTTCTATTTAAAAAAACTGAACCCAAAATTGAAATATTCAAAAACCAAAACCAAATTTTTTTATTTGATTTTTATTTTCAGATTTAACTAAATAATGCTTACCCCTACCTAGAGGTGTAAAACGGGTCGTGGCTCATGCAAAATGCAGGTCGTCCTGGGCCGTGCTGCCCTCCCCAAGGATAATTTGGGGGGTTGGCTCAGCATGGCCCACGGCCTAAGCTCGTGCGGGCCTGTGTCATGCTGTAGGCCTGGGCTGGGTGGGCTGAAGGTTGTGCCGTGGGCTTGGGCCGTGTCAGGCTTGGCCACAGGCAGGGCCTTGGGCGTGGGTCAAATCGGGCTAGACTGATTTTTTTTGTTTTTTCACATTTTTTATTTTTTTAATTTCTTTGCTAAGTAAACCTAAAATATTTAACTTTCATTTGGGAACTATTTGAAAAAAAAATCTAACAAAGAAATGAAAAAAAAAATACATAACCAAATAAGAAGTCAAAGAGACAAAGACTCAAAGTGAATAACAAATTGGAAGAAAAGTATGAATTTTATTTCATTTAAATTTGAATGATACAAAGCATACAATGGTTAGATGAATGAAATATGAAAATTGGAAAATGGAATAAATTAATAAAACATAAAAAATACAATATAGTTATAAATCGAAAATAGAAATTATATTATTAAAAAATATCAAATAAAATAAATAAAATTAAAACAAAATTTACAATAATTTTAAAAAATGCTATACGATTATTGAGCATGCAAAAAATATTGACTTCATCATTTTCTCCTATTGTTCTCGACTTTGGTCATTGTAGGAATTGAAAATGGTGGAGGATAGGGCTATTTATAGGAACTGAAAATAATTCAATTGCCTAAAATACTTTAAAAACTAATCGTTTTTTAATTGTTGGGAGTAGACCTGTACATGGGCCGGGCTCGGGCCGGGCTTTTACTCTTTATTAACAGAAAAATGTTAGGCCCGAGCCCGAGCCCGGCCCGACCAACAGGCCTACAACTTGGGCCCGAGCCCGACCCTGATAAAAAACCCAAAGCCCGACCTAATAAAAAAAATTCGAATTTTTTCCTATTCAAATGAACATTATCTATTTTAATTCAGATGCTTTTTTCCCCTATTTAAATGAACAATGGGCCTACAAGTGAATCAACAACCTTCTTAAATCAAAAAGTTTATTCAAATGGACATCACATAGGGTTTTTACTTAGGTTTAACTATAGGTTGGGCCGGGTTGGGCTCGGACCGGGCTATTTTGGCAAAGCCCGAGCTCGGCTCGAATTTTATGCGGGCCGGGCTTTTTGGCCCGAGGTTAAGCACGCGGGCCAAAAATCCAGTTCAAGCCCGTCTAGGGGTCGGGCCGACCCGTCAGGCCACCCGACCCATGAACAGGTCTAGTTGGGAGGGGTATTTTGGTCATTATAAAGTAATTTATCATTTTACC